ACTGGTGGTCACCTACAACTCACAACTCAAGCCATTTTAACGCATTATTAATGACCTACACAGGCACTATCCCACATCTTTAGTTAAGCATTTCTAAACCTCGTGTGAGGGAAGGCAAGAGAGACAAGAACAAAGAGCAATAAACTGAAACCCAATGCTTACTTTTTAATCCACCCCCAAAGTATTGAATACCCAATTGGAGAATCCCAATGTTAACTAATTATGCATTTTGTCACCTTACTCTGGTGGCAAATTCATGCAGGCTCCTAAATTGGCTCCCTAACCTAAACTAGCTAGGACATCAGCACACATAAACAAGCAGTTAATTCTTTCATGACTATGGAGAGAGAACTTGTAAATCTCAACAGTACCTTCTGGAATAGTCTTCCGTGAACATAATCAATTAGCTCAGCTCTCTACCATGAGGGTCAGGGCTTTTCCCCTGTGGGACCTAGTTGGATTCCACAGGTCTTGTAAAGCTTTTTCAACAGGCTTTTACCTGCTCATGTTTATATCAGCCAGTCTCTGTTTGATTATTTCTCCCCTCTAGTTTTTAGGGGGGGTTGGCTTCCAATTTCTTGATATTGATATTTTTTAGAATTTTATACTGATCTTACTATCGTTTATTGGTGTTGGTATTAAATTATGCTACCTGTTATATGGTACTTAAATCATGTTCAGTATTATTGTTAGCTGTTTTGAGTGACATATGCTAAGGGAGAGATGGGATATAAATCTGAAAAATAAATAAATATAAAGAAAAGTAAATCATGAGCCTGCAGAGAAACAACAGCCAGTTTGGTGTAGTGGTTAAGTGCATGGACTCTAATCTGGGAGAACTGGGTTTGATTCCCCACTCCTCCACTTGCACCTGCTGGACGACCTTGGGCAAGCCATAGTTCTGGCACAGCTGTTCTTGAAAAAGAGCAGTTTCTGTCAGAACTCTCTCAGCCCCACCTACCTCACTGGGTGTCTGTTGTGGGGAGGGGATGGGAAAGGAGTTTGTAAGCCACTCTGAGACTCCTTTAGTGAAGGGTGGGGTATAAATCCAATCTCTTCTTCTTCAACAGCAAAAAGACCAGTCACACATAGCCAGACTCTTTTGAGAATGCTTATAAGTCATCTTAAATCATGTTTTAGGCAAAAGTGGAATTGACCCAACAGAAAGAATCTTTATACCATTGCAAGTATGAAGCTGAGATGAAAGATCCTTTTTCTGACGCTGTGAAGTTTGCTCACAAAGAAGATTTATTTGGAAGGGAGAGGATTAAAACATTGGGGAAATTTACTGGCCCAATGTCACTTTGTAAATCATATAATCTTAAATTAGGGATGTCAAGAGGCCTGAAGAAAATCAGGAATGCTAACAGCCCTGGAGAAAAATGCGTCTTTAATAGAGGTTTAATAGGATGTTATTCAGCATATGATGAAGCCACAGAATGCTTCAACAATCCATTAAGCCTCTATTAAAGGGACAAGACATCTTTCTCCAGATCTGTTGTCAGCTCCAGGAGAATTATAATGGATTGCATATTATGTACAGCTATGTGTTTGGTGTATGCAGAAAGAAATATGTATACCAGATGAGAGTAGAATAGCCAACTGGACCGTCCCTCTGAGACAGCAGCCAGCCGCCTTGCAAGGCCTTTCGATAGACTGTGTGTAGCTGCTTAAAAGAGTGATGGAATTAATAATAAAGTTAACATTTTCCCCCACATAAATATTCTGAGGTAAGTCTGCCTTCTAACATTTTGAGACTTTGATATACCAGCACCATCTACTGGCTATTAGAGAAAACAGCAGGTGAGTCTTTCATTAGGCCATGATGAGCCAAGGAGATATTTAGTTATTTAGTTATACCCCACTTTTCTCCCAGATGGAGACCCAAAGCCATTAAGAAGTGTCCTCTTCACTTCCATTTAATACTCACAACAGCAACCCTGTGAGGTGGGTTTGACTGCGTAAAGTTGCAAGGTCTCCTGTTATGGCAGAAGACCTCTTCTGGGCAACTCCCATCTCCCAACACTGCCACCACCCATATGGGGGTGGTGACACTGCTCCCTCAGCCGGTGGGAGGGGGAAAAAAATCTTAAAATTGCCATTGGTATGACAGCATGACGTCACTTCCAGGAAACCTGGAATTGTCAGAAATTGTATGGTTTTACCTTATTTCTGGCTGTTTCTCAAGCGTCCAGACATCACTTCTGGAATTCACCAGAAGTGACATTATGCCATCATGCCCTGTGCCTCCTCCCTGATGAGTTCCTGCCATTGGTCGGCTGCTCCTTCAGAGAGAAAGAGTGACTAGAGCAAGGTCACCAAGTAAGCTTCCATGGCAGAAGGGGCATATGAACCTGGGTCTTTCAGATTGTAGTCTAGTGCTCTGACCACTAACACCATGCAGGCTACACCACAATGAGGGGCCTCTTTCTCAATCAAAGAGTGTTTCTCTGATGAAGAGCTGAAGCACCACATCATCATTATTTTGATTTGTCAATCACCCTATCCCAGCTTACACTCGAGGGATCAGTTTTCAGTGGTCTCGCCAACATGCCTGGAGAAAAATGTTTTGCCTTTTTAATAAAGAGTGTGTGATTGAAACCCAGAAATAGCCACCTAGTCAGAGGAAAGTACCTCTTCATCACTCCATAATTTGTGCTCAGTTTTAAGCCCCCATTGCACTGCATGTCGCCCTTACCTTTTAATCTCTTTTTTATCCCTTTCTTTTATTTCTGTTTCTTTTTATTATTATATCTGATTCCTTGGAGCAGAGTGTGTGAGCATGTGCAAGGTTAGTGCCTCTTGCGATTTCTGTTTAAAAATCATCATCTAATCCCAGCTTCTGCATGCTCCAGAGCCCAGCAATGGGAAAGCACATGGGGGGAAATCATCACCAGGCCTCCATTTGCCTTCTCTGATGGCCTGTAAAACCAGGTTCCTTTCTGCTGTCTGTTTGTAGCTTGTCAAAAATGATCCCTTGTATGAATGCGGTCTAAGAATTACATTACAAATTTCACTCCAGTTAGATGGAGGGGAGAGTTAGATCCAGAAATGGGTTGTGTTTTTTATTGTTTCAACGTGAAACACACACACACACATAAAACAGTGGCTGTTTCCCTATTTATAGAAATTCAGAAAAGAGGCTCCCTTGAGTGAGAGTTACAAGCCCCAAGCATATAATCCCCAGCAAAGTTAGTTTGAAATGGTCACACTGAAACCAGTGTATGTAAATGTCATCTGAATAAAATAATGACCCCCCCCAACCTTCCAGCACTAAACAAGCCAACTAAAATATTTAATGGACAAACCAAACTCTGCATATTCATAATACAACCCTCACCACTTTAACGTCTTTCTCAACACACCAAACTGCATCCTAATTTTGTTAAAAAAATAAAAAGAGTTCTGGGCCCTCTCATGTTACAGGATGTAGATGCCAGGAATATGGTTCATAAACAATAGTTTATGAACAATAGTTTATGTTTTGTTTTCCTAAAACAATTTTAATTTTTGTCAAAGATACATAGTTTAAACAACGTAAACGTAAATAGGTTTCTTCACCTGAAAAGTAAGACTAACACTGAAAAACAGTAACATCCTAAACTGACTTTTTGAGTCATCAGGAGTACAGAATACGGCAATAAAGTTTTAACAGTTATATAACATTATCTTGTATTTAGCCTCTGTAATGGTTTCCCAATCAAACTTTTCAAAGGTTATATTTTCTAAAATAGGATACCATTTCCCCAGGGGGTTATACAGCGCACGCTCGTTTTGATCACTTGAATTATATATAGATATGGTTTCTAGCATGAAAAAATCCCATACTTTATGACGCCAGAATTCCATGCTTGGGGGATGACTATCTTTCCAACTCTTAGCTATTGTTACCTTAGCGGCTGTTATTAATATGTTGATTAATTGTTTTCTAGCAGTAGGTGGACCATCTCCCGGCCAGAGATTTAAAAGTAATAGCTTTGGGTCGAGAGATATTTCATAGCCGATAAGTGTATAGCCGGTAAGTGTATGAATGTATGTTACGATTGCCTTCCAAGAGGGGGCATGTTGCTCTGCAGTCAATAGTTTGATTCCAGTCCACTTGCACCTTAGAGACCAGCAAGATTTTGGAAGTATGAGCTTTTGAGAATCAACACTCCCTTCATTAGACAAATGTGTACATTTTGTAATGAATAAAAATATGGTTTATAAATATGGCTGCCCTCAGTTCTTCTTGTAGTGATACTTCTAGAGCTGATGCAGAAATCAGAAGGGTGTGTGTGTGGAATCCAATGAATCGAGAGTGTACCTGCCCTCCACTGGAATGAATCCACCAGCTCTGGATTAGGTACAACATGCTTCATCTAAACAATCAGTGAGCCGTTTAATTCTGTATAAACATTCTTTATTTGTAACCACTAAATCACATCAAATATAGCCCCAATATGCAGAAAGGTGTTGTTAAACTTGCACAGTTCTTGCAGATTGGCTTTGGACTTGTGACCTGACACTTTAAAAAAGAGAAGTTGTCAGTCTGGATAAGACTAAATCCCCTTGTGGCTCTTATGATTGGGAGCGTAGCAAGAGAGGAAGGGGGCATTTCACGGAAGGCCAACTTCTCTTGCCTGGGGGCTGAATCCTCCCTCACCACGGTGTTCAGGGACTGTACTCCCCCAACCTGGGGTGTTCTCATTCTGCTTGTAGTTAATTTATCTGCAGAGGATGTGGCCCTTTCTGGAAATGTGAGGTAGGATGTCTGGTGAGGCAGGATGGCACTGAGGCAAATTGAGATCCCTCCTTTATGGTCCTTTCAACCCTGTCCCCGAACTTACATTCTACACTACACGCAAGTTCACCCCTGTAATTATCTTGGGGTATTTTTTGTTTCCACATTACATTGAGGTCACCCTGGTTTCACCCCACGCTTGTCCCAGGAGAAACGGATGCTGTTATAACCAGGGATAAATGCAAGGTATTGAGTCCCATGTAGAACTCTGATAAAACCAGGGATGAGATCCAAGTGCGGAAAGGACCTATGTCTCTCTTTTCCTCAGCTAAGACAAGCCAACCACGACGACTGTATATGCATGCCATTGGATGGAAGGTGATGGCATACAGTAGAGAATGAGTGATGAATCCACAGACACACTGCCTCTGTGATGATTTCTTCACCAGTCAGTGGTGTAGAAGGTTATGCTGGTGGTAGAGGGAAACAAAAACAAATTGGTTTGGTTATAAGATACAAGAAAATATTTTTTAAATGTAAATGTACCTCTTTGGGGGGGTTTGCCAGAAAGCCTTGAGGTCTTATCAGATGCGCTGTTTTCCATGTTTACCATCTGAGGTAATTTATAAGTGCTGTATTTGCCAGGTCCTGTCCCTGACTATGGAAGTTATTGCTCCTCTGGTATAGAAGGAAACTGTTCATAGAACTGTTTTTTTTGTTTCCAAAGCATTTCCCTTAGGAGGGGGGGGAGGAGAAATAATTCTGCTGCTTGGAAATGGAGAAGTGGGGAAGCTTTGAAAATCCCACAGTGAGACAAAAAGGATGCCATGGAGAATGAAGGGTGATGGCATACAGTAGAGAATGAGTGATGAATCTCTGTGATGATTTCTTCATCAGTCAGTGGTGTAGAAGGTTATGCTGGTGGTAGAGGGAAACAAAAACAAATTGGTTTGGTTATAAGATACAAGAAAATATTTTTTAAATGTAAATGTACCTCTTTGGGGGTTTTTGCCAGAAAGCCTTGAGGTCTAATCAGATGTGCTGTTTTCCATGTTTACCATCTGAGGTAATTTGTAAGCGCTGTATTTGTCAGGTCCTGTCCCTGATTATGGAAGTTATTGCTCCTCTGGTATAGAAGGACACTGTTCCTAGAACTGTATTTTGTTTTCAAAGCATTTACCTTAGGAGGGGGGGGGAGAGAAGGAGAAATAATTCTGCTGCTTGGAAAGGGAGAAGTGGGGAAGCTTTGAAAATCCCACAGTGAGACAAAAAGGATGCAATGGAGAATGAAGGTAAGATGGAGGGAGGGAGGGAGGGAACAAACAGAGGCATATGGGCTGCTTCCCCACTAAAGCCCCTTCATAGCAGAAGGGGGACAGGAAAGAGAAGAGAATGAGAGGAGAATGATGGTGGTGGCAGCAGTGATGGTAGGGTTGCCAGCTCCAGACTGGGAAATTCCTGGAAATTTGGGGGTGGAGCCGAAGGAGGGTGGGGTTTGTGGTGGGGAGGAGCCTCTGCAGGGTCTAAGGCTATAGATACTACCGTCCAAAGCAGCAATTTTCTTCAGGGGAACTGATAGGCTTCCCAAGTCCCCCCGGGGGGCAGGGAAACCCCCGCTCCATAGGCCTGTTCCTTGCCGCTCACGGATCAGGCCCCGGGGGGAACCCCACGTCGACGTGCGCGTCACCCGGAAGTGACGCGACCACGCCGGGCATGCTGGGGGAGGGGCCACAGTCATCCGAGGAAAAACTCTATGGTTTTCCCTCAGATGGTCATGGCCCCGCCCCCAGCGTGCCCAGCGTCGTCACGTCACCTCTGGGTGATGTGCGTGCGGTGCGCGCGCACTCCAGCCACAGAGCGGGAGTCCCCCGGTAAGAAGAAATGTCCACTTGGCAACCCTAGGAACTGATCTCTGTGGTCTGGAGACCGGTTGTAATTCTGTGAGATTGCCAGGCCCCACCTGGAGGCTGGCTACCCTAAGGCACACCTGCAGAAAGGGTGAAGCAGCACCATCACTGTCGCCCTTTCCATGCCCTCCTCCACCACAGGCTCTGTTCTCCTTGTGGTGGTGGTTTCAGTTTCCACACTTCTCTCTTTCCAGAATCACTCCTCCTTTTGTCTTATTTATTTGTACCCCACTTGTCTCACCAAAGGGACCCAAAGTGGCTTACAACAGAACAAAACAATGTGTAACTTAAAAAGTAAACAGCAAACAAAAAACAAGTGCTTCTGAGGCCAGCTGTGAGCCATGGGACAAAAGCAAAAGGGCTTTCACTTCTGGCCACCCCCAAGCTAGAGAAAGAATATGAAATGGGAAGGCAAAGATGTTATGTAGCAGACCGATTTTTCCCCCTTCTGCTCCTGCCCTTCCTGCTTGCTTATGTCCTTGCTCCTGCCTGCTGGATGACCTTGGGCAAGCCATAATTCTTCTGTCAGAGCTGTTCTTGAAAAAGATCAGTTTCTGTCAGAGCTCTCTCAGTCCCACCTACCTCACTGTTGTGGGGAGGGGAAGGGAAAGGAGTTTGTAAGCCGCTCTGAGACTCCCTTGGGCAGTGAAGGGCGGGGTATAAATCCAATCTCCTTCTCCTCCTCTTCTTCTTCTTCCCACCACTGTAGTTTTGTTGTTGTTAAATCATCTTCCCTCTGTACTGGGAAGAGTGATGACTTCCTTGTCGATGGCCATCACCAGCCAGACATGGCACCTACAAGCTACCTAGATGTACTCAAGGAAAATGTTACATCTGGCCAGGCTCTCCAGAGTCACTATGGAAAAGGATCCGCAGTTGTTCTCATCCTGAAAGAGGAAACTCTGGGCAAGTCCCTCCTCCCAAGAGCTGTAATTGATTGTGGTGAAGTTCACAGCTTAACTTATTGAAAGTCTTGTACAATTGGTCTATGGTGCACTCATAGGATCACAGAGTTCAAAGGGGCCATACCCCCTGCTCAAGGCAGGATCAGCCCAGAGCATCCCTGACAAGTGTTTGTCCAGCCACTGCTTAAAGGCCACTTCCACACTGTCATTTTTGTCACTCGTTTATCCCTATTGCTTCATGGTCCCCCCCCCCCAATGTTCTTTCTCTAGTACTCCCAGAGGGAACAAAACACATGTGGAAAGGGGGGGGCTGCCAGTGAGGGGGAGCTCACCACGTCCCCAGGCAGCGGATTCCACTGTTGCACAACTCTTACTGTAAAAAAGTTTTTCCTGGTATCCAGCCTGTACCTTCCCGCCCTTAATTTAAACCCATTATTGCGAGTCCTCTCCTCTGCTGCCAACAGGAACAGCTCCCTGCCCTCCTCTTACAGCCCTTCAAATACAGAGAGCAATCATGTCCCCCCTCAGCCTCCTCTTCTCCAGACTAAACATTCCCAGGTCCCTCAGCCTTTCCTCATAGGGAAAAGACACGAATGCCCCAGAGCTTAAAGCATCTACAATAGGTAAGGTGATCTCTCTGTTTTCTAAGGACAGTTTCCTACATTTTCTAGCTTGCTTTGTTGGATCATGCATATGATAACTGTGCACACCCAAATGTGAGACACATAAAATACCCTTTAGTTAAATATGATACCTAGGGCGAATCTGCAGACCCTTCCACAGTTGAAGGTAGAACAGCATATCTGGTTCCTTGGACAGTCGTAGTCGGTATTGCAGTGCCTGATTCTTAGTGACGAACATAGAAATGGCATTGTGGGGCAAATCCTAGGTCTCACTGGAGCAGAAAAAGATTAGAATTAATATCCAACCAGCAACTTTAGGTATATTTCAGGTTTCTTTAACTGTAGTGCAGCCATATTATCTATATCTGGAGACTCACTAGGTCACGCACTGGCACTCCCATGTCTTACTTTATTGAATACCTATTTTTGCTCCTTTTCATAGGCAGAACTTAGCCAATTTTGAAGCCCCCTACAAACCAAGAAGTTATCTCTTATTTTGAGCAGCTCCTATTTTTAAAAGGATTGTCTACCATTGTCCCCGGTTTCTGCACAAGAACAAGAACACAATGAACTAAGCAAAGGCTTAGACGGCTAGAGAGACAGTGGCGGCATGCTCGTGACGAAGCAACAAGAGCATCTTATAGGACGTTTATGAAATCCTCTGAGGTGGCAGTCAAAGCTGCGAAGAGGGAGTTCTACGCAGCCTCGATTGCGTGTGCCAGCTCTCGCCCAGCACAGTTATTTAGAACAATTCAGTCTTTAACAGCTCTGCCACAGGACAGACAAAACACCAGGGAATTGGACATCGGCTGTGAGGCTTTTGCGAGCTACTTTGCAGATAAAGTCTTGTCGCTCCGCTGCAACCTCCCCGCCACAGTT